GAACAAGAATTGGATGGAACTAGAAAAGAAGGCCCAGGACAGAGTGGGTTGGAGAATGCTGGTCGGCGGCCTATGCTCCATTGGGAGTAACAGGCGTAAGTAAGTAAGCAATAACTAACTTTATTAAGATAAAGTTGATGATAACTAGAAATAAAATAGAAGTAAAACATTGTCAATTATTTCTATAGATTAATTGGATTTTAGCTTAGAGATTTTCAGTCTAAGCAACTCCTTTTATATCTGAAGGTTTGTAGTTAGATCCTTGGCTAATTTATGAATATGAACCATTGAGAAAGTCTATATGATAAAGAATTACTTATCTGTTATCTCCTGATTTTCATTGACTGTCTCAATACAAAATATCATGGAGACTTCTTTTACATATAAACATTCAATTTTAATATTTTAGTAATTAGACACTACGGATCATTGATTGAACAATCAATTGAATGAAACTCATTACCATACATCAACCTCCTTAATTATAAGAAAGCAATTAACAGTGTGTATAGAAACAATTTATGGAAACTTCTTCGACATCATGGTGTATTTAAGATAGTTATCAACATCATAGCAAAATCGTACGAAAGATTGTAGTGCGAAACGGTGCATGAAGGAAAACTGACGAATGTATTCCAATTGAAAACCGGTATCAGATAAGGATGCTCATTTTTCCTTTTTCTCTTTCTCCAGGTGGTTCACTGGATTATGAAGACCTCTACGTCCAACGGAAAGCCTGGAATAAAATGAACATGTTGAACGCAACTGAACGATTTAGACTTTCAAGATGACATAGCTCTTCAATCCCATATACATCAACAAATTCAGTTTAAGATCAGTGTAGCAGCAGCCTCTGATTCAGTAGGCCTCAACATACAAAACGGAAAAAGTAAAATCCTCAAATACAACATTAATCCAGTCAAAATTGATGGACAAGCTCTGGAACAGGTGGATCAGATGCAGACGAAAAGGCTAGGATTGAGGAAGCAAATACAGTATTCTCACAGTTAAACAACATATGGAACTCAAAACAACCGTCAACCAACATCCAAGTCACAATCTTAAATACGAACACGAACATCAAGATAGTTCTACTGTACGGAGCTGAAACGTGGAGAACTGTCACAACGACAATCAAATATTTATAAGTATTTATGAACAACTGTCTACACAAAATACTCAACATCCGTTTGCCGGATACCGTCAGAAGCAGCCTACTGTGGAAGTGAACAAACCAGCTTCCATCTGAAGAGGAAATTAGGAAAAGACGATGAAAATGGATAGGACACACATTACGAAAATCACCAAATTGCATCACGAGGCAAGCCCTAACTTGGAATCCTGAATAGAAGCGGAAAATAGGAAGACCAATGAACACATTACGTCGGTAAATAGAAGCGGATATGAAAGGGATGAATAATAAGTGGAATGGATTGCCCAGAACAGAATTAGTTGGAGAATACTGGTGATTAGCCTATGCTCCTCGACGAAAGGGTAACAGACGTAACTAAATTAATCTTGTTTCAAATTTTTTTAAAAATTTTATTGATATATTGTTTGTATTGACAAACAAATTATAATTATTTTCTTTTAAAAAAATATTCAGAATTGCATTTGTAATTTGCTATATATATTTTTATCTTAAATATTAACATATTTTAATGAAATATTATTAAAATCATAACTAAATAAAATGAATCAATTCAAGCTAGACCATCATGGAAAACCTAGAAGCACTGGACGGCCGTTTCGTCCTGATAGGTGTGGCTTCGAATCTCTCAAGAGGGGATCGTGGAGACGCACTGCTGAAGAGTCCCACCATAGGATCAGGTTTTCCATGTTGATCTAAATTCAATTGACTCATGAAATCAACCAATGAAATCACTATAATATCCACAAGAAACAAAAAAACTCTTCTCTCATTATAAATAAAATGAATTATGAAATTAATTTAATTAAATTATTCCTCCATTTTATGTTTCCAGGTTCAAATTTGATAAACGTGGGGAAAATGATGTAAATGACAACTATGTGTATATGTATTGGTAAACATACATACATACAAACAAATAAACAAAATCCAATACATCTTTATTATACAAACATATTTCTCAATATGAATGGTTTTGACTGCCCACCCACCCCCATCCTCCGTAATATCATTCTTGTTTATTTATTTAAGCAAAACAAATTAATTTTCAGGAAAAAAAATTATTATTGAATTGATTAGAGAAAAAAAAACAATAAAAAAAAGATATTCATCTAATTTGTTTCTAGAATATTCATTGAATTAATTGTCTTAAATATTATCAGTTACATTGATTTTATAAATTTTATCATTGTGATTTTTCTTTTTTCTTTTGTTTTTCTATTTTGTTTTGGTTTATCATTTCTGATGAAGTTGTTGTTGTTGTTGTTGTTTAGGTGTACATAATAATAAACAATTTCACATTTTATTTGAATAATAATTAGTTATAATCCTATTTATAATAAATAATTCTTCCAATTTTTAAAAACGAATTATTTACTCAACCTCTAGGATATATATACAGTAACAGGAATATGGGATGCCATAGCAACTAAAAAAATTTTTTCCGTTGGCCAGTCAAGCCCTATTATTAATTATAATATTATTTAATAAGTATGTGTGGATTTGGAAATGTAGACTTTATTTTTTTTTTTTTGAGAACATGATTGTTAACAAATCTTGACCATCTTCTTAACATTGTGAACTTGAATGCTGTTAGTGGTATGAGGGTGGTTATTACTTCTTGGTTGATCACACTATGAAAGGGTTTTTCTGAAGGTACCTGAAAAACAAGTGGTCATAGTGACCTGAGGGCATGACCGCGGTGCACAACGGACAACTGCTTGAAGTTGGCCACACAAAATCGTTTTGTGAGAAATTTTCTTGTTAACTCCGTACTTCTTTAGACTTTACGCCACCCCTTATTGTGGGAAGGCAGGATCGTTGTTGTGCTGGTTGTCTGAAGGAAACACCATACTACCGTCACACCTCTGTACAGAAAGTAGTACGACTTTGCCTTCGGACCTAGGGTTTTCTGCGTTTAGTCTTACCGTTCATCAACTAACCTATCTGGCATGGTAGGACCTTCAGGAATGATTATTCCAGGCAGCGTAGCTCGATTGATTCATCACGATAGGCAATCTCGACCACCTCGTCAAGGTAGCAACAATGGTAGTGAGAATCAGCCTGGCTTCAAACGTAATCGTGAGTGTATCAACCACATATTCTCTATTCGTCAGGTTTTAGAACATAGGCATGCTTATCGGCGTCCGACAACGATAGTTTTTCTTGACCTAAAAGCAACATTTAACTCTTTAGACCGAGAGGCTGTCATTGAAAGGTGTACCTCAGAAGTACATAAACCATATGAAGGCTCTTTTCACCAACACTACTAGCCGAGTCAGATCTTATAGCGAGAGAGCGAGAGAGGTTATAACACGTGATCAGGCACACAGGCACGATAATAATAATAATAATACAAAGATGTAGATGAATTGTTACCGTTAGAACCACACCGCCTGTTAAATAAGTTAATTGAAGGCCTTGATAAAATTAAACGTAAAAAAACTTAAGTGTCGGTGAGATACCATAAATTAAACAATGATTAGAATCCTTTAACTTCAGCTAATCAGAAATACAGCACGGCCTGTGATGTTTGCTACTTATGTCAAAATACATAAGTAGTATGTAACATCAATGCCTGGCAACAGAAACCTAAGAAGATCTAACTGAAGAAAACAGATAGGGAAATAGAAAGGAAATGAGAATTAGAAGAATTATACACAGTGTAAAGAACAATTGATGGAAGATTTGCAAATAAAGTATTTAAAGTATGATTTTCACACCTTAGAAAAGAACTCTGCATTTTTGTACTAAACTATACGTTGGTTTTCCCTACCCAAGTCATTCACTTCGTACATATTCTCTTAACGTATCCCGTTAATAACAACATACAGATTAGAAGTCTAATTCAGAAGTATTTGACGAACAAATATTCCAAACATTCCTTAATACAGACGAACGATAAGAGATGAAAACAAGTGAATATGAACTGAAATGACAGAAATGTTCAACTCAGTGAGTAATAAGTGACTCAGTCTTTCATATGCATGAAAGAGATACAAAACAGTACACAAAAACATACGTATTAGAGATACACATTTATAATGCAGAGTTAAAGTTATAAGTGAGTAATTTGCAAAGGTAGATATATAGGTGATATAATAAATAAAAAGAATAGAAGAAGTGATCTGTCCAAAGTTTTGAACAAATCACGTAGGCATGTGGTAAAAGAGATTAACCACAATAGTGTAACCATAAGGGTGTAAGTTATTACACTGAACAAAAGAGAAGAAAACTTGATCCTTAAGAATGATGATACATAAAAATGAGTAAAGAGAATCCATGTAACGTGTTGTCGATCTATACTATAAAGCTGTTTATTTTTTAAAAAAATTTATACAGATCAGTATAACATAGATTTATTTTAAAATGGTGTTTCCCACACAAAACCTTTAAATACCATATCATCACTATAGAGATAATAATAATACCAAACAAGAAATAAAAGTGGGAGGTGGGACATTATATAATATTTATTTATTTATTTTAACACATAGGTATTGGTACAAGGAGGCACCAAATACATATGCGCCACACAAATCTCAATTGATTTGTGTGAGGGCTATGATACTTCCCGGGTGCCCAAACCGAAGCAGATGGTTTTCTTAGGGGGCCACATCTCTAGCCTTCGACCTGAACGTCTGACCCACATTATCTATAGAGTATGTTACGTTTAGATTTGCAATAAAGAGGAAAGTTAGTAACTACATTCTTAAAGGGAGTTTGACAATAATACACTAATACGTAATAAATGGTTGTGCAGCTATAAAATTCATAGAAAATTGAATGTAATCAGAATATTCTGTTTCAAATAGATGATCGATTGCATTAAATGATAAATATTACTTACTACAGCAACAGCCGGTGTTGTTAATATTTCATTCAATGATACCACAGTGATATAAGCAACATTAGCTAATGTATAGACAATAGTTACAACAAGACATGAGAAAACAATAGCAATAGGTAAATCACGTTTAGGATTTTTCATTTCTTCAATCATACAATTTAAATAATTCCAACCAGCATATGAGAATAAACCAGAATAGAATGCTTTGGCAATACTTCCAGGATTCCAATTAGATCCTTCGAATGGTGCTTGAAATTCTTCAACATGACCTAGAATTTGAGAAATATTGGAATAGTTTAAAAAATTCCACAAATGTTTATATGAAGTATTAGTATTGAAGTGTTATGTCCCGATAAGAAGAATGATTGGTAATTTTTGGGATCCGTTTATGAGACAATACTATGCGTATACTTGTATCGTATAATTGTTAAATAACTAAACTATTCATATTCATATCCCTCTTATTATAAACTTCATTTTGACCTATGAACTATTATTATAAGATTTACCATTCTTGAATTACGACCTGTCTATTAGTTACTACCCCCCACATTCACAGCCACATTTGGCTAAATCTTGTACAAATGTTGTTTCCTATTTTATGGTACGACGTGTTCTGTCTGGTTGGTATATAAACCTAATATGTTTTAAACATATGGTTCAAATAGTAGAGGCTGAGATTGGTTTTTTAGACTTAACTGGCTGTACTAGGCAGGAAGCAGGACTGATAAGTACTCTAGACTACCCGCATGGGTTTTATGCGTTGTTGGTCCGATCGATAATTCACTGCTCTCTAATTGGCGTTATCATTACGTATACATTAACAGAGTACACAGACCACAAGTTATAACATGAAGATCTAGTCAGTTAGTGAGTATTTTTTACAAAACGCCACTAGTTGAATAACAAGGACTTTCTAAGTTTCAAGAGAAGAAAACTTTCTATAGAATGTGAAAAGAAATCTTGGTTTCACGTAAATAACATTACGAATTCAGGACTATTCTGAATCATGCATACACTTTATGACGAATTAACACTTTCTCCTACTGTTCCGCGGAACTTTGTAAATTAATTGTTCCATCACAAGCACTTAAGTAAATGATGCTCATTTTTGACCCCTGGAAAAACTCTTGTCTCTATTCTTCCTTTATTAACCACCTCCAGGAATAATCATTACTTGTTCTTCTACTTTATCCACTTTATCTACTTTATCGTCCGGTTTTTATCTTCAATAATCTTTAATAGAAAGTAAATTTGTTATGCAATATATACATATAATATATTTACTCAAATCCCTGCCCCCAAATGCCCTGGTATGGTCGAGAGTGGGGTGAGACCTCCCTCCCTCTCGAAATGCTCTCACACGGCCACGCGTATATAGCCTCTGTGAGAGAAGTCCTACTCACTTCCTTCACGTGGCGGGGGTGTTGTCTACGAAAATGAGAGAACGAAAAGCGAATTCCGGCACCGGCTTTAACCGGATCCAAAAACAATGGTGCACATCGGCTCCAGTATCCTGAATGAACAAATGGCGTATGAACCAATCGTCAGTCACCGACTACCATGGGACTGCATCTCCTCACGATGCTCCACTGGCTTGTGGGTTAAATCTTCAGGTCGAAGTCTCGGGGTGTGGCCTCCTAATAAAACCACCTGCTTCGTTTTGGGCACCCGGAAAGTATCACAGCTCACACACAAATATAATGAAAATGATGATATTCACTGAAAACTCTATTCTTGCTTCGATTTATAGTTAGGGTCCTAGAGATGGTGTAACACAGTGGTTAGAGATGTTATCAGATATGGCTCAGAACATAAGCCAGTGACGATCCCGCTGTAACCTCCTTTTACTTTCTTCACAAAAAGTGGTTGTATCTTCCTTAACTGAAAGATTTCTTCTGGCTGTACCTTTCCGTTTCTCCCATTATTATTATTATTATTATTATTATTATTATTATTATTATTTATAAATAGCTGTCTACACAAGATACTCAACATCCATTGGCCTGATAAAATCAGAAACAGCCTTCTGTGGGAGAGAACAAACCAACTTCCAACTGAAGAGGAAATTAGCAAAAGACGATGGAAATGGATAGGACATACATTGAGGAAATCATCAAACTGCATCACGAGGCAAGCCCTAACTTGGAATCCTGAAGGGAAGCGGAAAAGAGGAAGACCAAAGAACACACTTCATTGAGAAATATGAGCAGGCATGAAAAGGATGAATAACAACTGAAAAGAGCTGGAAAAGATTGTTCGGGAGAGAGTTGGATGGAGAATGCTGGTAAGCGGCCTATGCTCCTTCATGAGGAGTAACAGGCGTAAATAAGTAAGTAATTACACTACATTACACTAATCTGGTCGTTATTATTCTTCTTTTTCATTCTCTTATGCTCCTTACCCTCCTTTTTTTCTTCCTTCTCTTTAAATTCTCATTGTTTTGTGTGGCGCATATATACATGGTGCCCTCTTGTACCAATAATTATATATTCAAATAAATAATAAATAACTAAATAAATACTTATATCTAACTTACCTAAACCAATTTGTATAAATCCTGTAATAATAATCATTAATAATGCTATTATTTTTGTATATGTAAATATATCCTGTACACGTGTAGACCAACGTACAGAGACAGAATTTATAAATCCCAGAATCACTATAATAATAATAATAATAATTAATAAATACTAATTAAGTAAAGGAAAATAGTAATATGAAAAGAAGTTTACATTCAATGAATGAATATTCAAAAAAGATTGATGCAGATATTTTGTTGTTGTCTAGTACTTTTCAAATGTATGCATTAACCATTATAGAAAAACAAAATGGATATAATTTAAAAAAACACTTTCTCCTAGATAATTTGAGACTTTTTATCTAAATCACAATAATGTTGTAGGTTGGTAACGTGAATAATTTGTAGACAAGAACGAATTACCTGTGAATTGCTTATTAATTTAAATAATCTTTAGTTAGTGAAAATATAATTGATAAACTGAGTGAGTATATATAAAAAATAAAAGATTATTTGTTTCTTTACAGATTTACCCCCGTCAAGATATTGATTAATGTTGAAATAATGTTATTTACCGTTATCACCATGATAGGATTCTTCTTTTTATAGGGTACAGACTAGTATATAAATTAAAGTATAAATTGTAGTATACAAACTGTAGCTTAGGTCTTTTACTATTATTACTACTAATACTCGATAATTAGTGTTAGCTAGTATTAATAGACAGGAACTATTGAAATTGGATGAAAATAATTCTTAATGAAATCCAGATAAACTGAACTATGAGAAGCTTTAGCTTTGAAAGGTTAAGCAAATGCAGTGTTATAAAAGTAACACAATACAAAATTAATCGTTGTAACTAAGACCAAGTGATTCATAAATAAATAGTGGTGATATTGTGTCGGGCTTATATAGGTTATTCTAGCATCTCGGTAGACCAATTTATTCATTCTTCTCAAGGCAAATTTTGACCTTTTCAAATACTTGCTTATTAATCCTGACTGTTTTTATACGATTGTGTGTATGTCCATTGCTTGACTTATTTAATTACGTGTCTGTAACCTACTTTTGTCTGGCTATAGATATTGAATTACGCTTAATGCAAACGAGTTTGGGTCACTCGCCTTCTCCACTGAGCGTTACTTTGTTTTTCTTCGCTCCCTTCACTGCGTTTCTCTGATTATCTGTTCAGATCAACGAGTGTATGAAATACAATTACTTGTTACCCCTCGTCGAGAAGCACAGGCCAGTTACCAGTATTCTCCATCCAACTCTTTCCGGGACAACCGTTTCCAGTTCCTATTCATCCTTTTCACGTCTGTTCCTATTTCTCAAAGCAGTGTGTTCTTCGGTATTCCTCTTTCCCATTACCCTTCAGGATCCCAAGTTAGCGCTTGTCTTATGATTTCCACAATGTATGTCCTATCCATTTCCATCGTCTTTTCCTAATTTCCTCTTCAAATGGAAGCTGGTTTGTTCACTTCCACAGTAGGCTGCTTCTAATAGTATCCTGCAAACGGATGTTGAGTATTTTGTGTAGACAGTTGTTCATGAATACTTATAAATATTTGATTGTCGTTGTGACAGTTCTCCACGTTTCAGCTCCGTACAGTAAAACTATCTTGATGTTCGTGTTCGTATTTCAGATTGTGACTTGGATGTTGGTTGACAGTTGTTTTGAGTTCCATATGTTGTTTAACTGTGAGAATACTGTATTTGCTTTCTCAACCCTTTCATTTTCGTCTGCATCGGATCCACCATGTTCATCAATGATGCTGCTGACCAGGTATGTAAAACTTTCCACCTGTTCCAGAGCTTGTCCATCAATTTTGAAAGGATTGGTGTTCTCTGTGTTGTATTTGAAAAAATATATAAAATATACGTATCCAAAAGTCCAGTCTTGTATTTGACTTATTTAATCTAGATATTCCTTAACGTCACTTAAGTCGATAGATATATACGAGGGTTGGCCGTATATATATTTTGATAACAATCAGCATACGATCTAGATGGAGTCAGATATAGGACCACAAAACTTTTAATTATGAAATCTAACATTGAGCCATTCTCACTAATGATATTAAAGATCAGATAAAATTATATTCGCAACGTGAACTAATAAGCCAAAGAATTATATCATGGATATTTATTGTTTAATAAGCAAAGATGTTCAAGTCAATTGAATTTACTTACTGATACATACAGCTGCTAAACATCGTACAACTGCATTAGACTGTGGACAATCAGGAAATATAGGCTGTAAAATGTATTTAGCAAATGTCATAGCAATGACAGCCATTGTAGCTGGTCTGGCTACCATCACTTCAATCCACAGACGTAAAAATCCCATAAATGAACCAAACGCTTCAAGCACATAAGCATAATCTCCACCTGAGCGTTGAATCATTGTACCTAGCTCAGCATAGCAATAGGCTCCTAATAAAGAAAAAATTCCACACCCAATCCAAATAATTAAGCTAGCACCGAAACTCTGCATATTTTCTAATATACCAGTTGGACTAACAAATATACCCGAACCAATGATTGAACCGATAATAATTGTAATGCTGCTGACAAGACCAATAGTTTTCTCCATTTTTACAGTAACATTATTATTTATATTTTCCTTATCATTTACTAGAGAATCTTTCAAATCCGGTATGGATTTTGACATTTTTTGCTGCTGCAAAAACAACAAAAGAGATAAAGAAAAAATGCAATGTCAAATAACACTGTACTTATTTACAAATATCTATTACTGGGAAGAGGTCAGATTTAAAATTTCTATTTGGAAACAGTTTATCATCAAACAAGGTGTTATGTTGGAGGATTCATTAAAGTAAGAAATGATGAATCTTTTTTAATGTTTAGAGTAAATTATTTTGTACAAGTTTATATTGATTAGTCTGATGGTAACTATTTATCTGGAATTCAACAAACTAATAACGCTTCTAATTTAGTAGTTTGTAAAATTAAAAAAATTTTAATATGGTTCAAAAACACATGAAATTAGGTCTTCGTCACTTCAATAAAACACTTGATACTATTAGACTCTAACAAAAATTCTGCAATCAAAAAATACTAATGATTACTTCTCTGAGCCTTTGAACGATGCTATGATGGCCTTGGGAATGCCCACCTACTTACTAGGGTTAAATAAGTGTCATCAGACAGTGAAAGGAATTAGGATTGTGACTTACAGTATAGTATACAGTTAGGGGTTAGGAACTAGTTTTAGGGTTTTCTTTACGAACTGATATAAGCTAAAATGCCAAAACGCTATTTAGTCAAATTGGTTTCACCCCAAAATCTAAGACCTAGTAGTGTCGGTTACTATGTTAAGCCCACACAACGTATTCTAGCTTCTGGACAGATTAGTTTATTTATTCTTCTTGAGTCACGTTTTGACCTTGTTAATTATTCACTTATCAACCTTGACTGCTTCTATATGAGCGTATGTGTGTGAGTACATTTTATCCTACTCATCACATGTCTGTAGCTTATTTTTGGTGTGACTAGAGATATTGATTAACGCTTGATTAAATGGAGTTGGCTCACACACCTCAACCGTGCGTCATTTCGTTTCGCTTTCTCCCTCTGATGGTCTGTCCAGATCAACGAGTATACGAAATACACGTATTCGAAAATCCGTTCACGTATTTGATTTATTTAATTCCGTTATTCACTAAGGAGGATTAACGACATGTATATTTCAATAGCGATCAACATACGATCAAGTTGAAGTCAGATATAAGGCCACCAAAGTGGTGATCCCGACGTGATTCGAACACGAAGCCTTCTGATATGGAGTCAGATATAAGGCCACTAAGACCCGTTATCGTAAATCTGACTAGTTTATCCATAAATTATAGTCTTGCCAAATAACTCTTTCAAAGAAACCTCCTGCTTGAGACAAAAGTATATCAAAAATAAGACTTTCAAGTATAATCTTAATGGAACAACTAATTGACGGTACTAGGCTTCAGTCCCAGAGTGAAAAGCAACTCTGAGATGCAGTTACATCCAGCTGACGGATCCCAAATAAAACGAAACGCGCGTCAAACTGGATCCCACTGCTAGCCATTATCCATCTTTGTTTATAATGCCTGTGACTCCAGGCAATTCGCACAGGATGCACATATGCCAGCATGAGACTGATCGATTGCAGTCCTAAACATCAATAGGAAGTTTCATGCAAACAATACCTAGTGAATTTAAGTTGTTTTCTGTTTTGTAAGTTGCTTGAGAAATCAACTATTTTTATAATCACCTCAAACCAACTACATACCTTCGCCATTATATTGTTGTAAAATCTTGCATTTTGAAATAGCAGACAGAAAACAACCAATGGGAAAACACCCATAAGAAACAACAAGAGAAGCTGTTCAGAAAACTAAGAAAAAGAGTGATGCATCTTTTCACTTATAGTCGAATGTTATCCCTGAACAATGCTTAAACAACCAATACTTATACAACATATGAGCTGCTTTATTAAGTTGTATCCTGCCACACAGTATTTTAGTTCGTTCATGAATAAAAACTGCACAATGTTTTCGGTAATTTCAATCAGACTACAAAACAGGTTAACAGTCGTTAGTAATGAGAAGGGATACTAAAAAGGTTTCGCACACTAGTAATAACCACTAGTGCCTTCTGCATTTATAGATACATTCTAAAAATCATCAGTGAACCAAGGCGAAATATTTATTTCCTGTAACAACTATCGGGGGATAAGTCTACTTCCGATTGCGTCCAAGCTATTCTCTTCCGTTATACTTCGTAGGTTGTTCAAAACCCGAGAAGGATTGACTCGCGAGGAGCAGGCTGGGTTTCGTTCTGGTCGAGGATGTATTTATCATATCTTCACCCTCCGCCAAATGTCAGAACACCGCCATACTTATCAAAGGCCAACAATCGTAATGTTTCTTGACATCAGGGATGCCTTCGATTCGTTGAGCAGGACTGTTCTCTGGGATTGTCTATTGAAGAAGGGTGTGTCTGAGAAGTTTATTAACATCCTAAAAGCCCTATACACAAACACCTCAGGCAGAGTGAGGGCATACAACCACCTTTCTCCACTATTCCATTCGAGCAGTGGGGTTAGGCAGGGTTGCTCAATCTCACCATTTCTCCTCAACTTTACCATCGATGACATTCTGCAAACAGCTCTGATGGATGTAAGTAATGGTGGTGTGGATCTGTTGCCTGGAGAAAGACTTCTCGACCTTGAGTATGCCGATCATATTGTCTTACTATGTGAGAATGCCCAAGCTATGCAATCCGCACTTAATCAGTTGGCAATCAGTGTCCGTAGGTATGGTATGTGCTTTGCACCTTCGAAGTACAAAGTACTTCTACAAGACTGGCAGGATTCTAATCATGTACTCACTCTGGATGGTGAGCAGATTGAAGTAGTCGAGAAGTTCGTGTATCTAGGTAGCTGAATAAGTTCTGATGGTGGTGGCGTGAGTGATGAGATCAATGCACGTATAGTGAAAGCCAGAGAGGCTTATGCCAATCTGGGCCATCTTTGGCGCCTTCATGATGTTAGTCTGGCTGTAAAAGGTCGGATCTACAACGCGTCGGAGAGAGCAGTTTTGCTCTATGCTTGTGAAACGTGACCCCTCCGAGTTGTGGATGTTAGACGACTCTCTGTGTTCGATCATCACTGTCTCCGAAGGATTGCTGACATCCAGTGGCAACACCATGTTAGTAATGCAGAGGTTCGACATCGAGTGTTCGGTCACAGATACGATAATGAAATTGGTGTCACCATTTTGAAACATCGACTTCGGTGGGTTGGACATGTTTTACGAATGTCATCCCAGAGAATTCCACGTCGAGCATTAATTGCCGACTCTGGGACTGGTTGGAAAAAGCGGAGAGGTGGTCAGTATATGACGTGGTGTCGTGGTATGAAAGAAAACTGCAAAGGGCTGGCTTCTGTTGGTCCTTTACGTCCCTCTGGCTGAGGTTCCTAGAAATGGTGTAACACAGTGGCTGGAGACGTTATCAGATATGGCTCAGAATAGAAGCCAGTGGCGATCCTGCTGTAACCTTGTTTTACTTTCTCCATAAAAAGTGATTGTATCTTCCTTAAGTGAAAGATTTCTATTGATTGTAACTTTCCGTTTCCCCCATTATTATTATCACACTACCTTACACCAATCTGGTCGTTTTTGTCCATTTTTTTGTTTTTTTTACGCTCCTTACCTCCTTTTTTCTCTTCCCATTCTCATTGTTTTGTGTGGCGCATACATATTTGGTGCTCCCTTGTACCAATATTTATGTGTTCAAATAAATAAATAAATAAACACTGAACCAAGGTAGACAGGACTTCATTCAACCAGCCACTACCACCATATTAATCTTCATCTTAGTCTTGAAAATAATGCTGTCTTGTACTTTCTATTTTCATCCTTCATTTACTTCAACTCAACCATTTTTATTTTGAGTGTTTCGCCACTAACTCCCCCTGTAGCTCCTCCAGAGTTCCTGCCGGTCCCAAGCCCGGGTATAGGAGGAGAGTTGGGCATGGGGTTAGCGTCCCCATCCCGTAGAAAACTAACTCGCTAAAAAACGCTAACCAGAAAAAACAATTCAAACCATTTAAACTTTGCCCTAGGAGTTAGAAGGTCTTCATTCAGAAGAAATATGACGCCTCAGGGTGAAAGCCGAGTTCCTTCAGAAGCCACGAGGCCGATGCCCCTTCTAACAACCAGAGCAACAATTTTTATAGGTACATGGAACGTCCGGACAATGTGGGAGACCGGGAAGACTAGTCAAATAGCAACGGAAATGAGGAGATACAACTTAGCAGTACTGGGAATCAGTGAAACCCATTGGACCCAAGCTGGACAGCAAAGGCTAAATATGGGAGAGATGCTGCTATACTCCGGTCACGAAGAGGAAAATGCTCCACACACTCAGGGAGTTGCTCTAATGCTGTCCAAAGTAGCACAAAATGCATTTGTAGGATGGAAATCTCACGGATCCAGAATCATCAAAGCATCATTCAAAACAAAGGAGGGGGATCACAATCAACATTATCCAATGTTATGCACCCACAAATGATAGCAACGACGACGTTAAAGATCAATTCTATGAGAGGCTGCAATCAATCACGGAGAAGTGCCCAAGAAAGGACCTCACCATTCTGATGGGAGATCCAAACGCCAACGTCGGAATAGACAAAACCGGATATGAAGACATCATGGGACTACATGAAGTGGGAGAGAGGAGATTTGTAAATCTGTGTGCATTCAACAAATTGGTCATAAACGACACAATATTTCCACACAAACGTTTACACAGAGCTACATGGATCTCACCGGACCACATCACAGAGAACCAGATAGATCATATTTGCATCAATAAAAAGTTCCGAAGGACAATGGAAGATGTGACAACCAGATCACCACCTGGTTGTGGTCAATTTAAAACTGAAGCTAAAGAAGAACTGGACAAATTGACAAACAGCACTACAAAGATTCAATACAGCCTTCCTTCGAGATGCTGACAAGCTCAATGAATTCAACATAGCTCTCAACAACAAATTCCAAGCCTTACAGGATCTGCTGAAGAAAGAAGAAACTACTATGGAGAACAACTGGAAAGGTATCAAAGAAACATTAACTTCAACGTGACAAGAGGTTTTTGGCCCCAAGGAGCATCATCACAAGGAATGGATCTTTATAGAAACACTGGACGGGATCAATGAAAGGAAGAACAAGAAGACAGCAATTAACAACAGCCGAACACGAGCAGAGAATGTTCAAGCACAAGCTGAATACATAGAAGCAAACAAGCAAGTGAAGAAGAGCATTAGAGCTGACAAGCAAAAATACATGGAAAAACTAGCAACGACGGCGGAAAAAGCTGCAAGAGAAGGAAATATGAAACAGCTTTATGATACAACAAAGAAACTAGCAGGGAAATATAGTAAACCAGAGAGACCAGTCAAAGACAAAGAAGGCAAGCCAATCACTGAAATTCAACAACAGCGCAACAGATGGACAGATTACTTTGAGGGACTCCTGAATAGGCCGGCTCCAATGAATCCACCGGACATCGAAGCAGCACACACAGATCTTTCTATAGATGTCAGTCCACCAACGACGGAAGAAATCAGAATGGCCATCAAACAAATCAAGAGTGGGAAAGCAGCAGGAACCGACAATATACCAACTAAAGCACTGAAGTCAGACATCAAAGTAACCACAAACATGCTTCATCTTCTATTCAAGAAGATTTGGGAGGTGGGAAGAAGTGCCGATGGACTGGAAAGAAGGACACCCCATCAAGATTTCAAAGAAAGGAGATCTGAGCAAGTGTGAAAATTACAGAGGCATTAGACTACTGTCAGTAACAGGAAAAGTCTTTAACAGAGTGTTACTGAACAGGATGAAAGACGCAGTAGGTGCCCAACTTCGAGATCAAAAGATGGATCCCGTAACGATCGATCGTGCACACACCAAATTGCGACACTATGGATCATCGTCGAACAATCCATTGAGTAGAACTCGTCACTATACATCAACTTCATTGATTATGAGAAGGCATTTGACAGTGTAGATAGGAGAACGTTATGGAAACTTCTTCGAAACTACGACGTTCCTGAGAAGATTGTTAATATTATCCGGAACTCATACGACGGACTACAGTGCAAGGTCGTGTGTGGAGGACAGCTGACAGATGCATTCCAAGTAAGGATCGGAGTAAGACAAGGCTGTCTACTCTCTTCCTCTTTCTTCTGGTGGTCGACTGGATTATGAAGACCTCGACATCTGAGGGAAAACACGGCATAAAATGGACAGCTCAGAACCAATTAGACGATTTGGACTTCGCAGATGACCTAGCCCTCCTATCGCATACACACGAACAAATGCAGATAAAGACAGCCAGCGTAGCAGCAGTCTGTACATCAGTAGACCCCAACATACACACAGGGAAAACCAAGGTCCTCAAATACAACACGAAGAACAGCAATTCACTCACTCTTGATGGCGAAACTCTGAAAGATGTAGAATCATTCACATAACTGGGAAGTATCATCGATGAACAAGGAGGTTCAGATGCGATGTAAAGGTGAGGATTGGAAAAGCAAGGGCCGCATTCCTACAAATGAACAACATATGGAACTCAAAACAACTTTCAACAAATATCAAAGTCAGAATCTTCAATACCAACGTCAAGGTAGTTCTACTGTACAGAGTTGAAACGTGGAGAACTACAACAACCACCATCAAGAAGGTACAAGTATTTATATATAGTTGTCTACAGAAGATACTCAACATCGATTGGCCGGATACCATCAGCAACATCCTTCTGTGGGAGAGAACAAACCTGCTTCCAGCCGAAGAGAAAATTAGGAAAAGACGATGGAAATGGATAGGAAATACATTGAGGAAATCATCGAAATGCATTACGAGACAAGCGCTAACTGGGTATCCTGAATAGAAGGGGAAAAGAGAAAAGCTAAAGTACACAATACGTCGGGAAATAGAAGCGGATATGAAAAGGATGAATAAGAACTGGAAAGAGCTGGAAAGGATTGCTTGGGAGAGGGTTGGATGGAGAATGCTGGTGAGCGGCCTATGCTCCTTCATGAGGAGTCACAGGCGTAAGTAAGTTTCTTCACTGAGTAACCCATCCGTACCCCCTAAAAAAAACTTCTCGGCATAAAGACATTAGGAATTCTCTTTCATATATCCACCTGTGAAACTGGTAGTATTTAGCCTCACCAAAGATTTTAGTTGAAGGCGTGAAAATTAATCAACTCAAGGAAGCTGCTAGACTATTTCAGTCCATGAATTTTTGCAAGAAAACCTCAAGTTTTCTGAAATGTTGTTTGCTGACAATACCGAAGTATGGGGACACATACACATTGGTGATGAGGTAGGATGATACAAAAATTTAAATTACCCAGTTAAGCGAGTAGAACGGTGGTCGTTAAAGTAAGTTCTAGAAAACTCTACGTTTATTGCAACAAATACTACTCTACGTTTATTGTAACAAATACTTGTCCCAATCACACCGAGATACCAGCCATTGAATCTGTACAGGTGACTGAAGAAACTGTCCTTTCGTTGATAATTAACCTCAAACCTTGTAAGATACCGGGTCCTGACGGGTTACATCCACGGCTACTGTCATCTCTTGCAGACATTATTTCAAAACCGCTCGCGACATTATTCAACATGTCTCTTTCACTCGCCCAACTCCCTAGGGATCGGAAAGATGCTATTGTCAGTCCTATATTTAAGGATGGTCAGAGACACATCGTATCTAACTACCGACCTGTCAGTCTAACTAGCATTGTCGTTAAGTTACTTGAAAAGATAAAGCGGGTTAGGTTGCTAAGCCACATAGATTCACACAATCTGTTAGCTCCTGAGCAACATGGATTTCGTGATAAGCGTTCATGCTTAACTAACCTACTCATTGCGAGAGAGGATTGGACAGCAGCCTTAGATAAAGGTCTGTCTGTTGATGTGATATTCATAGATTTTAGCAAAGCATTTGACAAGGTTTCACACTTAGGTCTTATGAAGAAGCTCACAAGCTTCGGAATAATAGGTACTGTACAGGATTGGATGGGAAACTTCTTATGTGACCGCAGACAGAGAGTTAGGGTCAATGGGACGCTATCCGATTAGAAGCCGGTCAAAAGTGGTGTACCTCAAGGCACCATTTTAGGCCATCTGCTCTTCCTTCTCTCCGTAAATGATATACCACTGTTGCTTAGGTCGTCGACATTATTATTTGCGGATGATGTCAAAATATGGATAGCAATAAGAGGTGAGGCTGATCATCTGGATCTTCAAGCTGACTTAGACGATTTAGTTATATGGACTTGAGGTTGGGGTTTAGAAATCAATTCTAGGAAGAGTGTGCTAATGCACATTGGTCACGGCAATAGTTACCATTATACTATTGATGGTAAACCTCTTCCATGCGTTCAAGAACATAAAGACGTAGGAGTGATGATAAGTCATGACCTAAAAACAACTACGCATTGCAACGCAGCTGCTGTCAAAGGTTTTCGTGCGCTATGGTTACTTCGCTGAGCGTCCAAATCCTTCGACGAGGAAATGTTTCGAATCCTATATCCCACCTACGTAAGACCACATTCGGAGTACTGCATCCAAGTAGCTAGCCCATGTCTGGTAAAGGATACTCACTTGAGCGCGTCCAGCGTGTGAAAACGAAATTAGTGAAGGGTCTTTCTAAACTTCCTTACGATGAGCGTTTAAAACGCCTAAACCTTTTCCCCTTGTCGTATCGTAGGACTCGAGGTGACCTTATACTGGCATTTCGTATCTTTAATTATGAGTTGAGTGTTAATATGTCTTATCTTTTTGCTCCCTCCAGCACTAATAATCTCCGAGGTCATAGCAAGAATATTCATAAACCACGATCTAATAAACTCAAAGTTGGGTTCCGTTTTTCTCATCGAGGAGCCAATTATTGGAACGCTTTGCCCGAACAAGTGGTATCAGCTCCATCAGTCAATCTTTTCAGGGAGAAACTGAACCTTCACTGGAAGGCAATCTGTTATGATTAACACAGGTTCACCAACCTACTATCCTTATTACTGAAGACTGACTGAATTCAGACCGATTATTGCGTTAACTAACGTCACCACAAAATAGATAGTATGACTTTAATATTGGTTATTGATTATAAGAATCTAGGATTACTACGCAGTCTTCCTATTCTTAGGAAAATTTCTATCCGTTTTGGAGGCATTTGGGGAATCCATTGTAGAAACTTACGCGAAAATGGCACAAAACCCCCAGAATTTCCCGTAAATAGGAGAATATAGTCACGACAAACTGACTTTGTAATTAGTCTTAGATAATATTGACATTTTTTCATTGATCCCCATAATTTGTATATTTTCTGTGAGTGACTGTAAAAGTTTTGGTCCATCAAATATGTGTATAAGACTAATCTAAATTTTCGCCAAAATTGGGAGACCGCGGTCGGGTCAGAAATTTCAAAAACGAAAACCAGATAATTTGAGTTCAAAAAGTTATCAGCTCATCAGGCAGTCGAGTAGTAAGTGCAAGGATATGCGATTCGTTTTAGTTGAATGCAATCTCTCATGTCAGTTGTATACAGCACGGCACGTTGAGCCATTAAGTATATTAACTTGCTAAAACTCGACAGAAAAACAATGAAGTTATCTCAAACGCCTAAGACTAAAAAGAGAAAACTAAATCTCCTATGACATACGGAACGGGTATCTCAAAAATTACCAACACAAATACTTACCCTCTGGTCTTGCGAAAACCTGAACTAACTTTTAAAAAATAATGTAAATGTTGAACGTGACAAATTGACTCAGTACAACAAACGCTTGCAAAACCAAAACTTTTCTGGAAAGAAGTAAATGATTTTCGACAACTAAGGATTGATTTATAGATTGTAAAAGAAAGGTCTAAGATAGAGAGAAGTTTAATAATTGTCACAGGCTTTTATGAACATAAGATCTGTGATTTAAACAACATGATTTTTAAATGATTGGGGATTATGAGTCGTCGTACTACTACTCAAAAATCTCGAACTACATAAATCAAGTGGTCAAAATGATATTCATTCTTGAATTATTACAGCTGTGGTGGATTTAACAACAAAATCATTGCCGACGACATATAACGATAAATCCACGAAATAAATAGGTCTGTAAGTGTTCCACATTGTTGTTGACCTCATTAACTTAACTGTACACACCTTAGCTGAAGAAGCTCGGTTACGCATCCCGATCAGATCATTAGTGGGTATGGCTAGATACTCACCCCTTGCTGACGTCATAAATCAAACGCTTCCCAGAATATCGAAAAACTTCAAAATACATCTTCGGACTCGTTTATCTATGACTTCTGATTTGACTGGATTAATATCCTTGATTCTAAAGGTGATACGGACAAATGTGTTGTTGAACCCTGAACATCTATGACATCTTTAGGTTCAAAAATGCTAATGCAATGTATCATTTCAAAAGGATTAGTCACAATATCTCTGTACACTAAAGATATTACGATTTCGATTCCGAGGTCAGTGAAAAGAAACTAAAAAGATAGAAGTATGGGTAGACAAAACCGGCTGTAAAGCAAGCCCCGAACCTTTGACCTGCGCAATAAAACTGGTAAGAACGGCATCATGATATTTCCCAGTGGACACGATAATTTTTGTATGTCTACAGTTGTAACACACTCTACTCATACACTTCAGTCATGACTATTTTTCGTTCGATTTGACCGTATACTTCGAGTTAAATACTTACTTTAGTCCAATAGGAATCGACAGAAAATAATCTGGATGTTACCACTCGATAACATGAGGTTATTTCTTTACGAAGTCAATAGAAAAATGCTAACGATACCATGTTTTGTGACCAAAAAGACTTCTGGTATCGATGATGATCTTAGAGAACAAGAAGTTAGCTTCTTTTACCTAAAAAGGTATAACACCGAGGTTTCAAGTGCACTTAAAAATAACGATTCTACAGATATTCATGGTTTGACAATACGTTCGCCCACCAAATCTTTATCACCCAAGAACATTATTACAGTCAAATCAGAAGCCGTGAAGTATAATTCTCTGAGAAAATCGGATCCGCCAAGAAACTGGACAAATGCAGTAAACAATATGGCTCATAAGACCAAGAGTAAACATTTGGTTAGTGGCTATCTTCAGCTAACGCCATTGATACTTTGGTTAAATAAATTAAAAAAATAGATTACTTGAGCCTGTTGTGTTTATCGGATCATCCTACCACAATTGGAGATCGAACTGAAACAAAAGATACAAATGTTCTGCCTGACTCAACCTCTATATACTTAGAGAATCTGATGCAGATGTAAAGGCGAGTACTTGTAAAAAAATACAGCATTCCTACAGTTAAAGAACATATGGAACTCAAAACAACTTTCAACAAATATCAAAGTCAGAATCTTCAATACGAACGTCATGGCAGTTCTACTGTACAGAGTTGAAACGTGGAGAACTACAACAACCACCATCAAGAAGGTACAAGTATTTATCAATAGCTGTCTACGCAAGACACTCAACATCCGTTTGCCGGATACCATGAGCAACAGTCCACTGTAGAAGAAAACCAACCAGCTTTCATTTGAAGAGAAACTTAGGAAAAGCCTTTGGAATTGGATAAGGCATATATTACGAATATCATCAAACTGCATCACGAGACAAGCGCTAATTTGGGATCCTGAAGGGTAATGAGAAAGAGGAATACCGAAGAACACACTGCATTGAGAAATAGAAACAGACATAAAAAGGATGAATAGGAACTGGAAACGATTGTTCCGGAAAGAGTTGGATGGAGAATGGTTGTTGGGGTCCTATGCTCGAAAGAACACAGTGCATCGAGCATCGGAACCATACATGAAATGATGAATAACAAATGGAAACAACTGGAACGGATTGCCCAGGACAGAGTTGGATGGAGAATGCTGGTGGGCGTAACAAGCGTAATTAAGTGAGCAATATAATAGAATTACGGAACGAGTTAAAATACTCCAGTTAAGTGGACAGATTGATTTTAATTAAAACCAAATTCTAGCTATTCTGAATAACAAATCTTTTCACAATAAATCATATCCCACTACCTAACGTTGTTTGTCTGTCCGCCCTTTATCATCAGTTATCTGTACTATTGTTTGAGATACAGAATCCCAGAGTTTATGGCATTTTTGTGTGTCATTTCGTGTTTCGGTAAAAATAGAGAGGATATTACACCTGGCACATAGGAGTTCGAATTTCAAATATAGGATTGGAGCAGCTATTTCATTGTTTTAAACATGAAGTAGATATGTTTGAAAGTGTTTTGAGTCAATGGACCAACCTAGTGAGAAATCTGCATTCACTAAGCTTAATAAAGGTGAACGAAAGTGGTTTCACTGTTCGGTCCACATCAAATCCAAAGCACATGATAACCCCCGAATTTTATTTCCTTAGCTGTGTCTACCGTCAAACTAACATATGACTAGATGAGATAGCCATATTGTCAGACTTATTCACCTTAGCATCATCCCTTTCATTCACAGGCAAGCTTATTTGTGGTGACTTCAACGTGCCTGAAATTTCTTGATTTGCTCCGAAAAGTTATGATTCATTTGTTAAATGTCTTGAGCTTGCACATTAGATTCAGTATGTCAGTAGCCTCACCAGATATCAAAATATCTTGAATTTAGTCTTCGCCAGTGACCCTGCCCCCAATATTGGAAATAGTTTTTCAGGTAGTGATCATAACATTGTCACACGTAGCTTTAATAAAAAACAACAACCGGAAGACGTAGAACTGTGACACTTCGTAAATACTATCACAAGGTCGATTTGAAAAAATTCCAAAGTTACCTATGAAGCACTGATAGGAGAACCTTCTTTACTGTAAACAAAGCCAACATATCCTCAGTTTGTCAAGGAACTATTTGGTGAACACATTTGTTCCTCATCACCTAAATCAAAATTACTAAATTAATGAGAACCAATTCCAGTACCTTCCTGTGAATATACCAACATAGACTACAATGTATAGAATATTTCTAAGGCAATTAGCGCAATGAAACATTCCTATACTGATCGACCAGATGGCATTCTGGCTAGCATGCCTTAAATTGGAGGTGATGAAATGTGTCTTCTACTTATTAAAATATTCGCGATATCACTCTCTATAGCGTGTTACCCTAGTGCCTGAAAAACTTCACATGTCATCCTCAAAACTAAGACAGGACCTGAAGCAAATGTCGAAGATTATATGTCCATAAACATAACTTCAGTGGTATCAAGAGTGATGGAAAAAGTAGTTAAGGTGGCTGTAGTCCAATATCTACTTACTAATAATCTCATCTCGACCCCCCAGCATGGATTCTTTAGGTCCAGATTATGAGACACATGCCTCGTAGACTACCTGAATGATATGACTCTGAAAAGAGACAACGGACTCCTTATATCAGTCCTATTCTTAGACTTTAAGAAATCTTTTGTTAAAGTCCCACAAAAAAGGCTTCTCGTCAACCTAAAGTGCTTCCGAATCAACAACCCACTGTACTCATGCTTTGCTTTGTTCTTAACGGGACTTAAACATATGGTAAAGTATGATGACTCTCTCTCTCATCACCTAGACCAATAACTAGCGAAGTTATCCGGGGGAGTGTGTTAGATCAACTCTTGTTTCTAATGCATATAAACCGTCTATGTTACGCCATGAAATTTGGGAGACCATACTTATACGCTGATGATCTGAAAATGATGTATAGCATTAAACCTAAATCTCTAAGCGAAAGTGCATCCCTGACCAAAGATGACCTCAATAACTTAACTATCGGGAGTGAAAAATGGCAATTATCATTTAACTCAAACAAGTGCGAGATCATGTACTTTGGAAAGTATCCCCATAAATTGCAACTTCACTTAAATAAAAGTAGAGTCCAAACACTCAAATCACTACACGATCTAGCAATCAATTACACACAAATCTCGAAATTGGAAGGACACGCATCGTTTATTATTTCTAAATCTAGACGGCCAATTGGTTCACAATGACCCATCATCAGTATAGCGGAACACAACTGTCATTAATATGGACAAAACCAAGTGGCAGAACACATGGGTTAACCTCTTCCAGTACGCTTTGATTATTATCCACGCGGACAAAGGAATAACCACAGTAATTATGGACGAAGAAGAATACGTCAGAAAGCCGAGAAACTACCCGAAGACAAGAACACATACAAACGGATGGACATAATTCCCGTCAACAAATTAGACAACCGAATCTCAAAGACGTTAAACAATCTAGTCAAAGCAGGTGAAATAACAAAACATGATCAATGAAGAATGAAATCCAGTGGGCCAGTACTCCCTCGATTCTGCAGCAGACCGAAAATACACAAACCAATTATCCAAATACGTCCAGTTGTAGCACTACCCATACATACATACGTGAAATTTGTAAAAGAAATCTCACGAATATTGGAACAATTAGTCGATTCATCCGACCACTCCATCAAATCGCCCACACAATTCTTGGATCAAATTTAGAATATTCGAAGCAACAACGACGAGCTGATGATATCCTACGACGCAACAGCGTTATTCACCTAAATTGAACCAAGGCTAGCAAAAGAAACTATATCCCTGCTTCACACCAACGACCCAAATCTCACAAAGTACACGAAGCTCCAAAGTTAAAGTCTACGAGAACTCATAGATTTATGCCTGACAACATATTTTCAATTCAACAACAAAATCTATGAACAAACAAAAAGGACATCAACAAAATCTCCAATATCAGGGCTGATCGCAGAAGCAGTGATGCAAAAACTAGAAGCCGCGGTACTACCGGTGATTTAGCCAAAAATTTGAATTCGCTATGTAGACGACACATTCGTCATCGTCAAAAAGAATGAGCTGGAAAACACCTACAGGCTGATCAACAATGTCTTCGATGACATGAAGTTCACAATGAAAAGGAGTCAAACAACAAACTATCATTCTTGGTTATATTAATCACTAGAACCGACACAGGAAAACTAGAAACTCAAGTGTATAGGATGCCGGCCCATACAGATGAAATTCTTAACCGCAGTAGCAACAACACAACAGCTGACAAAATCAAATGCATACAAACCCTGATCAAGAGGGCGAGGACACAATGCAGCACACTGGCAGCACGAAAAAAGGAAGAGAAATACCTAAAGGAAGTACTTCAAAAGAACAACTACCCAATCAACTTCATCAAAAAATACCAGCCGCATGCTGCATCCAAACCCAAGTCAAACACAGAAATCAACAAACGGATCACCCTACCATACATAAATGGCATATCAGAAACCGCAAGGAGACTGCTGAAAACCTTCTGGATAGATGAGGCATACAAACCTATGCAAGCCAAAGGATGAAATTACAAAGGAAGACAAATCAAACATCATCTACAAAACAAATTGTGTCAACTGCGACAAACACTACATCGGAAAAAGCGGACGTCCCCTTCACCATCGCCTACATGAACACCAATTAGCAGTCGAACGTTTTGATATCTCCTCACTTATATCAATATACGTGGACAAATGCGGACACCATTCGATTGGAAAAATTTGGAAATCTTGGACAGAGGAAACTCCAAAGACACCAGAGAATTTTTAAAAGCCTGGCACTTAGGTCAATCACCAATCAACAAACACATCGAAATCGATCGAATTTATCACCCAATCAGGAAAATGATGAACAAATATCGGAAAAAGCAAACCAGTGGGTGACGCAACCAAAACAAAGAATTAAACAATGACAAATTTAAGGTCAATAAGAACCAATCAACATCGAGGTGTACAGAACAAGCTGTGAAACGCATATGGAGAAATTCGAACAGTTCACTTTTATCTGAAGTTTGTGCTGATGATGTCGTTCAGAAGAACGATGAAAGCTCAACAACCACACCGTCCAGCTCTGAGGACAAAACTCCATACTAATATTATCAAAGTAGGGAGGATGCCTTTACTGACTAGCAAACACGATGTTGGGGAGATAAATTCGATCTATCCATAAAAAGTAAAAAGAATCTGGGGCAGAATCCTCACTAAAAACAGGTCTCCAGGTGGAGCACTTCGAATTTACATTCACTTTCTACCGGTGACACACTAGGAAATCCTTAAGCCATTTTAAGAGAAGTTTGGCAATGTCAAGCTTTTCTAGCAAAAATAGCAGTCTATTTGTTAGCACCTTGTGAAATGCCTTACTGAAGTCGATGTAGACAACATCCTGTGGCGGTAAATATATCTCCAAAATAAATAGCTCGGTAAGTTTTTGACGTTGCATGCTGACCACAGTTTTATTGGACTCATGTAGCTGTAGGCTCTCGGTCATGCATCCTCCCCAGATGATGTATGGGAACGCCGTGCTCAACATCTACTGCAATCACTAGCCAGATTAGTTCAGACCATCCTCGATATATTGATAGCTCAACAAATATATCTTCGAACCTCTTCGCTTCTGTCTTTTGATTTCACTTGGTGGGTACGCTTCATTTTAGAAGGTGTTACTGGTTAAAGTGTTGTCAAACTCCTAATACTTGTGGCATCTTCAATCCATTGATTTTCCATTGTCTAGAACCTTGATCCATTGCTCCCTTGCTACAGGAAAATGTGTTGTGCACGATAAACATTTTCTGGAGCCATTTTGTTCTCTGTTTAACAAGTTGTTGGTTTCTACAAGTGTCATTATGGTCTTTTTGGCTATTGTTCCCAGTATTTTAACTACGACATACCTTGGTCAAGCGGCATATTGAATATCACAGTCAGTGAGACTGCAATATACTGTGCAATATTTCTCAGGATTTTGGGGTGTAGTTCATCCGGTCCTGTTGACTCAACCGGATCTAAGGTGCTAAGAGCCTTAAGTACATCGTCTCAACCAAAGTCAGTGGTGAGCCTCTGCTTTTCCTAATCGTCATCTATCATTTCAGATCCACTCTCTTACTTAGTTAGGTTGGCAATCCAATGCTGCATCCTTGTTCTGTAATTTATGTACAAGAACAGTCTCTTAAACTGCTTGATTGCAGATTGTGCCAACTGCATTTCATATGTTCCCAGAGCTCCTCTGATTTTAATTACACACTTATTTCATACCGACCTGTAGCTTTCCATAGTCCTTGCTGTGCCAAGGCTAATGGCAATGTTCCAGCATTTCTTCTTTTGTCGTAGTGAACTTCGAATATCCCGGTCTATCCAGTGATGGCCGCGCTTCTTGTTCTATGTGACTGTCCAGGGTATATTATTTGTTTATTTGAACGTATAAATATTGGTACAAGAAGGCACCAAATATACATGCACCACACAAAATTTTATTTGTGTGTGGGCTGTGATCCTGCTCGGGTGCCCAAGCCGAAGCAGGTGGTTTTCTTAGGGGGCCACAACCCGAGCCCTTGACCTAAAGTTCTGACCCACAAGGCAGTGGAGCATCGTGAGGAGGTGTAGTCCCATGGTGACCGGTGACTGACGATTGTTTCATACGCCATTTGTTTCTTCAGGATACTGGAGCCAGCCCATGTGCACCATTGATTTGGAATCCGGTTAAAGCGCCGGACGTTCGCTTTTCGTCCTCTCACTTTCGTAAACAACATCCGTGGTGCGAGAATGCAGTGAGTAGGACTTCCTTGGCAGAGGCTGTATTCGCGTGGCCATGTGAGGGAATTTCGAGAGGGAGAGCGGACTCTCCCTACTTTCGACTATACCAGGGCATTTGGGGGTATATATGGTCGAGTTGCCTGATTGTATAACTACCTGAAATGAGTCCATGCCTCATTTGCTGATGACCATTAGTCAATTATCCAGTTTTCAGCCTATGCTGCAGAGTTTAGCGCCTCCATGTCTGCCTTCCATATGTTAGGACGGGCCGGCGCAACTGTTTGACAGGCCATCTCAACCATCAACTTGAATAAAATGACTGCATGATCATTTCTCCATAGGGGTGGTATGAAAGTAAATTGACCGACATCACCGTGTGTAAAGACTAAGTTCAAGAGAGACGAGAAGCTTTGTAAGTCATATCTAGTGGAACTCCAATATGCTGTAAAAAAACTAGTGCAATCGTGGTTTCTAACAGTTTGTAATCAAATGACGTTGTTGATGAACCTACTTCTATGTTAGCCTTGCAGGTACTAACGAAGAATACAGTGAGTGTTGTTTATTGATCAACAGTATTATTACCTCGATTGTTTGACCATTCATATTTTTTCACAATCAAATTTTTAGGATAATTTAGATTGGTTTTTACAAGTAACTGAATTTGTTGTTTGAAACGTTTACTTGTTTAAATTGTTGACGGAGTCTTTACAAAGTATTTATAACATATCGTGCGCATTTGACGTTTCAATTAAAACCAAAAAGAGTCGCTCTTCATTTTGGCCGACAGCTTCTGGTGAGCCTCTTGATTTAAAGTTTGCTTGGGTTTTTAATGTGTGTTTATCCTTTTCCATCCGAGAATTCAAAATGGTCTTGATCACCAGACTGTGTAAAATTCTCATGATTGAAAAATAATGATCCGAAGCGCTTTTTATTTGTAGATGTTAAGCAGCAGTTTGTATTTGATGCAATATGCTTCGATAATTTTTGAAGCGCTTTTCGACTTCACTTGAAAAAACTTTCAAAATGTCAGGTCTTTTAGAGGCCAGCTAATCTTCATTAGGGTGTGAAATGTCTCTATTTGAAAATAATAGAATGAGAGAGTAACCAGATGCTCATACTCGACAAACTGCAGTAGTGATTTCCAGTTTCATCGGGTTTGTATGATTTTTCATTCGGAAATTCGAAACGGTCTAGATCAGACTATGTGTAAAATTTCCACTTGGTTGTACCAAACGGTTCATAATTATTTGACGAACTGAGTTTTTTGAGACTTGGGCCAACTTATCACTGAAAATTTAGAACAACAAGACATGTCTTTCTATCGAGAGATATTTTCGACAACCATTATCCCGAAATTTTTCGACATAATGTTTGTCAAAATAAGAATTTATTCAATTTGTTTGGGTAAAACTGTTGTTTTTCAAAAAATATGTTTAGCCTAAACGTAGCAGTATTTTCTCACTATTTATAATGAAGGATAGCACAAGCGTTAGTGTAACTAACTGATTTAAAAGAGCGGTTGTGTTTGGGAAAATCACTAATTTATTTAAACTGACATCTCTTAAGGATTTTTGATTGTATTACAAACCACATGTGGCACCTCTTTAGTATTCTGATTGAATGTCAAATTTTATGGCTGAAGATATGATGGCTCAACTTTTCAACTTAAGAATTTGGCTTAATTTTTACTGACCTGATGTCAAAATGTCTCTGTCGTCATCGATCCCATCTCACTTGTATGGTTTTGTTGTTCAAAATCAAGCCAATCTCATCTTACTTTGTGAAAGTCAAATTTATGAAAGCCAAACGATTGAAGTCAAACATATTCTATTACTTGCCTTATTTTATTTAAAGTCGTTTGGTCACTTTATACTACTGAAAATGCAAATTATAATGTATTTTATTTTGTAGTGGCATGGCGGAACTCAAAAAACTAGATGATGGTGTCAACGTTGTCATAGACAAATCACATAGTGTAAAACTGAAGCGATCTATTGGTATTGTAACCAGTATCACCATTTTAGTAGGATCAATGATTGGCTCAGGAATATTTGTCAGTCCTACTGGTATTCTGAGAAACGTTAGAAGCATAGGAGCTAGTCTAATTATATGGGTTGCATGTGGGATCTTCAGTATGCTCGGAGCGTACTGTTATGCAGAACTTGGCACGATAGTAGAGCGATCCGGAGGCGACTATATTTATGTATATGAAGCATTTGGACCATTTATTGGATTTTTGCGTCTATGGATGGAAGTAATGGTTGTAAGACCTTCAACTGTCGCTATTGTGGCTTTAGCATTTGGGCAATATGTTGTTGTACCTTTGTATCCAGACTGTCCACTGCCCTTTACGTTGGTCAGAATTTTGGCAGTTTTATGTATTAGTAGGTTTAAAAATATTTTCCAACAGCGTTCTTCCCAATTTATTCATTAAGATGTGCTCAAATATATATTCAACCAATATTAACTGTGATGCACTCTAATGGATAAAATGCACTGTTTGTATTTTTGATAAGCGAAAAATGAAGGCAGTTGTTAAGATGAAGATACTCGACATAGATCTCTACTTAGTACAGATTTATAACATAAAAATGATAAACACTGTTTGGTGAGAGTGAAACAGTACTGCTAAACACAACTCACTATTAAGTAGCTACTTCTTTCCTAAAAAAGGATGACCTGAATCGTTGCATCAAAGTTCGTTTATTCTTTAAGTTTGAATAGAGTATAATGACATCTGGGAGAAATACCATAAATCCTGATTGTTTTCGACATTGTCGTCAAATGTATATGGTCTGTAGGGATTTTAACACACAACATGTACGACAGAAGAATGATGAATGAAATTATTGGTGGACTAAAACCAGTAAAATTGAATGAAAGTTGTTTGAGTGATGAGTAATAAGTGCAGAAAAGTGTCAAAATGTGAATAAACGAAATACGATTCAGAAAGTGAAAAACTGACGACAGTTAAGTTATGAGTTGTGAGTGAATAAAGAAAAAATGAGAAGTGATAATTTCTCATGACTGTGTGTCTTCAATCGTAAGTGAATTGACAAAACTCTAATCATAATTAATCCCAGATGAATTGAAATGTATCACATCAGCAAACACTTTGTTTCTTTTGACACTTGAAATACTTTGATTATTTGGTTTGTAGTTTTCATTACTTCTGGTAGTTATCAATCTGTAACTTCACTTAAATGTTTGGAATCAATAATATATTCTACTTGTTGTTTACATAGTAAATGGTTCGTTTATTGTCTAATTACATGTAAATTAAAAGTATCAAATGAATCGATACGTGATAAATTAATTTGATGATAAGAAACTGGGAGAAGTTCACTTAGAAGAATGTTATGTAGTTTTTTCATTGGTTGAGATCATGAGTCAATTGAAACTAGACCACCATGGAAAACCCGAAAGCATTGAACGGCCGTTTCGTCCTAGTATAGGACTCCTCAGGATTGAGCATCCACGTTCCCGCCTCACGATATTTGACCCCAGGAGCTATCGGTCTCGAGCTCGAGTGCTTAACGACTAGACCACTGACCAGGCCGGTATCCAACGGTGTTAATGTCTAAATTCAACCAATCCACGAATTTGAGTGATGCATCCACCGTTGTCTTCAGTGTTTTACTATCTCACAATAGTTTGACTTTTTACTATTACTCATGATTTTTCATTTGAACATGTTTAAAACGATCACATTGATGATATCTTAGTGAAAATTTCCCAATTTTTTGTCATCTTGTTTCATTTTGTTTAGCATTTTTAACCTTTGCCAATTCGTTTTCAATCAAATTTTCAACCAGAATTCAAGATATATTTACATTTGCAAAACTTGCCGCTCTTATAATGATCATAGTAACTGGATTTGTACAGATTGGATTTGGTAATTTAATAATATTATTCTTTAAAATTATTTTAATTAATTTTTATTATCCATAATAATAACAGTCGGTTTTGTTGTGTGATTTTTGTTGAACTATGAGTGGTTTATTCTTAAGATGAAGATTTTATTGGTGTGCATCATTCAGGAGTTTCTCATTTCATACGAAGTGGTTGTTTAATACAAACAAAATGGCAACCACTGTGTTAAGGTAGTCTAAAATGAGAGTGAAATTTTAGTTACAGAATAGAAAGTTTTGTATAAAAGTTTTCCAAGAACAAAAGTGAACCACTGTATGTGATATAAGGCAATTTGGTGAATCTTAAAATTCGCAATAGTTGTCATCACGCTTGAGAAAAATAATCTAATAACATGTCAGACGAATTTTACTTTTTCGAAGATTTCTTTTTGGATAGAGTGATTCGTCAATAAATTGTGAATCAGCAAAATAATTCTTCTTTCTACTTGCGTTTGTTACCCGTCTTGGGGCGTAGGCCACCGACTGGTATTCTCCAACCAACTCTGTCCTGCGTTTCCTTTCCAGGTGCTTCCGATTGCTTTTAGTAATACACTGTGAATTATCTCCTCTAAGCAGCTGACTAGGATTTATAATCTCTATGTATTTGTTATTGTAATCACTGATGATGATGAATTTATTTATGTAGTGAATCCATTTAGGTATCTCGCATTGTACTTTATTGCTTAACTTCTTTTAGGTCGTTATGAAGGGCTGGAAGAACCTTTCGTCGATTCGGACTGGAGTCCTGGTAAAATAGCTAATGCATTTTACAGTGGTTTATTTGCTTATGGTGGCTGGAATAACTTAAATTGTATGGTTGAAGAAATGAAAAACCCCAGGAAACATTTGCCTATAGCAATTGTGGTATCGTGCTTATTAGTGACCCTAGTTTACACAACTGCTATTGTAGCTTATGTAACAGTCGTACCAGTTGCAGAAATGTTGACTTCAAGAGCTGTGGCTGTGGTAGGTGGAATAGTATTTTTAGTGGTGTATTAATGCTCTTAATCAATTTTTCTATAAATCGAGAATAATAATAATGTATTTTCACCGTTCAAGATTACATCATCTTCGACAGTTCAATATCTTATTTATTATAGTTATTGTCTCGTGCAATACAAACGATGTTTGTAGAGGTGCCTATTTAACAGGCTTGATCGCAATTGTACAAATGACGCCACTGATAATAATGTTAGGTTGCTAAATAAAACAATAATGGAAAATGGCTATCCTCCGAAATTGATAGATAGATAGAAAGTTCATGGTACAGTGAGACCCACTATAGCTTTGGCAGAGAAAACGCCTGTCTACATCACCTTACCATTTAGAGGTGATTCAAATATCCTTTTATTGAAACAAAGACTTAAGTCAGTCTTTAGCAAGACATAATATACAGCGAAGGTCATTATAAAGGAAACAACAAGGTTCATTCCTCATCGAAAACCTGGGAGACAAGAAAACGATTGCGTCACATCCCAATGTGCTTACCAATTTAAATGTGTTCGTGATCACACACAAACTTAAGAAGAAGTAATCGCGACCTCAAAATTAGGGTGTGTGAACGTGCACCTAAATGGCAGGGGGAAACAAATAGAATCAAATGACCCAATAATAATAGAGGATAAACATCCATCATCCTTTATTACCAAACACATTGTTGAAACAGGTCATAAAATTGATCTTAACTCGGCATTTGTGGTGTTGTACAAAAGTGTAAATGGGCGTATACTAAGGTTTATGGAAGCCTTGGCCATTTGTTAAATGGTAAGAACAGATCTGAAGTTACGTTGTACTCGAACAAGGTATCTGAATAAAATATTTCGTAAATGATTTATGTTCCAGCGTAAACCGAAAATTTCCCACAAATATTTCATGAAAGAATAGTTGACATCATGAGTCATTTGAAACTAGACCACCATGGAAAACCTAGAAACACTGGACGGCCGTTTCTTCTTATTGTGGGACTTCTCAGCAAACTGAAATCCAATAATTATAATTAATCAAATAAATAAATCATTTCGTTAAGATCAATCTTTATCCAGTCCCATCAATAAACACCCAAAATTATCTCGTTTTGAATAGTGTTAATCTGTTTTTTAATCATTCCATCGTTATGAAAAACATTACTGAATAATTTGGATTTACTTTTATCCGTTTACTTACAAAAACAGACATTTGCTAATAGAATATACGGAATGTTTTGGTGGATAATGCCAATATTTGTTGCTTGTTCAACGTTTGGTAGTGCCAACGGAACTATATTAACTACATCGAGAGTATTTTTTGCTGCTAGTCAGCGTAAGCAAATGCCAGCGTTTATCAGTTACTTGCACACGGATCGATTAACACCTCTTCCCGCTGTTCTGTTCACTGTAAGTTCCTTGCATAACACTACTTTCGTCGAATATACATAGATATTAAAAGGTATTTCGATCATTACCAATCAGTTAGTTTGTCTTAAAAGTGAACTTTTGATGTCTATTTCGGAACAATGTCAAATATGTTTAAACTGGTTGTAGGATGACATTTAATGATAGTAAGTTTGAAATTGTAATTGGATTGTGGCTCACTTTGACAATGATGGCTTTATAGTATTGAAATACACCAAGACCAATGATTTTCATTCTACAGTTACAAAGAAAACTACGAATGAAAACATGGTTTAGACAAAGTTTAGTCGGTGAAGTTGAAATACACATTTGGAAAGAGACATGAAACCGTTGAAAATCAACTTCAAATCTACATAATACATCGCTCGACATCATTATTTCTAATCATGAAATTGTGAATAGGTTTAGACTTTTCAGCTGATGAGATGCTTTGAAATGAAATAACGAAATCGTTTTACACTTTAAATCTTACTGTTCCCGATCTGTCCGAAATTCAATTCAGTTATTATTAGTGACTTCATTGAATATTATGTTTTTGGTACAATGTGGAAATCTCAGCACAAATTATTTTAATGAGTTTTCTTTACTTATTTCCTGATTGTCCCTTACGATAAATATTGAGTTGTAGCCAGTTATATGTTAACAGTTCAGGACTCGACATGTGAACAATCTATATTCTTTTCGATGCATATTGCTAGCAACCGCGATGCCTCTGATTGGGTTTTTTTTTAACTTGCACAGTGAAATGTCGTAAACTTTTGACAAACGTGCCTGAATAGGTTATGCGACTAATAGGCATAACGATGTGTTGCGACAAACAAGAAAACAGATAATTTGTTGAAATATCCAGATGTCAGGAACAGGTAGCTCAGATATTCAAATAGGCTACGCATATGATTAAATTTGTGGAAAACGTATTTCAATTAGTAAATTATGACCAGCAATAGACTATACATTTGTTACGAGATAGCGCTAAGGCAAAATAACATTGACTTTTCATAATAAGTTATGATTTACATGAATAAGTATCGTTCAACTTTCGTATAAAGAATCTATTCCTTATTTTTAACTTGTTAATCACTCTTTTAGTGTATCATATCAATAATTTACTTACTTGCTGGGGATATTTTCACACTTATGAGTTATATGGGTTTTGTTCAATGGTTCGCAATTGGTCTTTGTGTTCTGATTGTGGTAATTTTCCGATTTACTCGTCGTAATATTCAACGTCCGGTTAAGGTAAATTAAAATTTTTGAAACAGTTTTGTGGTATTATTCCTTAAGATTATATGATTATAATGAGAGAGTGATTTCTGTGGAGATTGTGATAATTTTTTATTTGAATTGATAAGTGAAGCTAGACCACGGTAGAGGTGGCACAACTCCTTGGATTGGTTGGATCTAGACATTAATACCGTCGGATGCCGACCGACTCAGTGGTTTACAGGTTAAGCGTTCGCGCTCGAGTTCGAATCCCGCGTGGTGGGATCGTGGATGTACACTACTGAGGAGTACCATTCTTGGATGAAATGGCCTTCCACTGCTTCCAGGTTTTCCATGGTGGTCTAGCTTCAATTGTGACTCATGAATTCAGTTGATAAATTATTACATGATATCATCGAATTGTTATGAATCATGACTGGTTCTAGTTGACTTTTCTTTACGACAACTTTAGTAAATTGTACAATGTCAGCATTAAGTGATGATGTTAGCCTTTGCGTCTATTTTACCACTTCATCATTACTTTTTCTATCCAACCATTAGTATTCTGTTGGAAAATTCGTTGTGTACGATGTTGAAATTAGACATTTGTTTTATGAACTGACATAAAATTAGAAAAATTAGAAGTAAACCTTGAAAATCGTTTTAAACTAATGCAGTGATCCTTTCTACTGCAGATATAGTGAACGGGAACACGAGTAGGGTCAATCGGACGTAATTTAATGCAACATTACAGAAAATCTTAGTAAAATCTGAGAACCATACACTAAATACTTCATCTGCAAAATGACAATCAATCGTCACAGACTTCATGGTTCCTGCATTTCTTTACGAGTTTCTTTCTGTTCTCATCCTCTCCTCCTCGATCTTCACGACCTTCAGCTGCCAGACATTGTATTCCTGACTTGAGTTATATACTACTTATGTCGATATACGTAGCACCATTACTAATAATACTGCTGTATTATAATATTTTAATTTTTTCATTATTTTTATTTATTACAGGCTCCTATAATATTCCCCATTATCTACTTAGTAGTTACTGCATCTCTCCTAATTTTCTCGTTTTATGGCTCACCTCGAGAATCATGTAAGTCATTTGTTATAAATTATGTTCAATACATTCGTATATTTACTTTCTAAATGTAGGAATAGCAGTTCGTTATAATGTTTATTCATCAATGTGGAGGTTGGATTGGAAACAGCCAACTAAGCAGCCACAATCTCATAAGTGACTACCTTCGAGTTGGTTGGTTGGTTGGTTGGTTGTTAAGTTTTGAGGTACTGAGTCGAAATGGCGAGAGACGAGATCATAACTTATCAATTACATTCAAGTAGAATCGTGGTATTTAGCTAGCAAATACTAATCTTAGTAGAATAGCTGAACTAAAGTTTTGCTATTCAGTGGTATATAAACCGAAGTTCCTACACAAGACCAAAACATCGCATGTATTTGATGTTATAGGTTGTTGTAGCCCTTCATCGATGAGATAGTTAGAACTAAGAAAGATCTATTTCAGTTTTCCTATGGTTCTTCTTGTCGTTTATTGATAGGTCACTTCATGACTTAAATCATGATCGAAATTGAAGTTTTACGGAAAACTACTTAATCTGTATCACTGAAAGATGAAGTAATCTTCTCATTATTTTAGTTAAATGGAACTGATTGCAGGAATGGTTTATTTTCCTAGTATAACAATGATTGCATCTCTCTAGTGAATTTTCGATTGTCTTGTCCCTTTATAGTATATGGTATTTTGATCATTTTAACTGGTATACCGGTTTATATACTCGGTTGTGCGTGGAGTCCTAAACCGAAATCATTTCAGGAAAATATGAGTAAGTATTTTTGTCAAGTCACATTTCATATCCCATAATTTAAATATTTTCAGACGCGTTCGGTGTAACTGACTTATCAGTTATTGGTTTATGTAGTCAACTCCGAGTTACATACTTGTCTTATCTGAGGGCAAGAGACACTGCCTGGTTTCCCAAACTGAAATAAATGTAACGAGGTTTGCATATGCAATCTGTTTGTTGGAACGCATATGTTTTAGCCAGTTAACCATCAATCCGGATTCGTAATCTTATGAACGCATATATATGTTTGATTTAATTAAATTGGACAACACTCGGTCAACATGCCTACAATCACTTCGATGCCATGAACATTTGAGTTAAAATGAAAAGAAATTATGAGGCTTGATTTACGTATAACCTTTGAATAATTCAGTCTTCTAATTAGATCTCCAAATCCAAATATTGATTTCTAATAATTGTTGTTATTTCAGATATGACAACCAACATTTTTTGTGTCAACTTCTAATACACATGCTTAATAAGCTCTAGTCCCTAATTATTCGAATTCCATTTTGTTTATTGTGAAAATGTTTTTCAATTGTTAATAAACTAAAAAAGGGCTTTTTCTCAAGTCAAATGATAATATTCGTTCTTTAAATGAATGACACATGATGTTTCTTATTAGGTCAGAAGCGATTTTGTGGATATAACGGTAAGTTTAATAGATGAGATCATGAGTGATGAGACCGATGGGTCCTGGGTTCGAATCTCGCGATGCGGAGTCATAGATGCGCACTGCTGAGGAATCCCGCAATAGGACGAAACGGCCGTCCAGAATTTCCAGGTTTTTCATGGTGGTCTTACTTCAAATGACTTGTGATCTCAACTATATAATCTACTATACTATCCACAAAAAGCCCCTTCTGATATTATTCAACATATGCTCACTGATAAACGGCTTCAAGAGGTGTTTCCAGGAGTTCTTGTTAGAAGCATTGACCAGGGGAGTCTAACCGGGTCTGTTGTGAGATATTAACTCACTAAAGTTAGCGGTGGACATGTCGCCCGATTTCGTGGATTAGTTGAAGTCAGAATAGTTAATGACATGAAACTGGAATAGTTTTTAATGTAAATACCGATTGCATTTTCAGTGCATTACAAACGGTAAGGAATTAAATCTGTTATATCTACAGCTTAGTCTTCTAATTTACTGTGTAAAATTTGAGCACTCGAACGCTAGAACCCTCACAAGTCTCAAACGAGAAGACAGAGGAAAACTGTATAAAGTGCTTGTTGGGCAAAAACCAAAATATACAAAACATCACGGATATTAACAGATATTAGCATTTGTTAAATCCACATTATAATTCAACCAGTCCGCAAAGATGCATGATACGCTACTGACTAATAGTCCTATACCATGTTGGTATTCTAGGAGTTCCATTACGTTCTGATTGGACGGGACAGTTTGTCACGTCCTGAGCCTATGGAGGCTCCGTCGTAGTTCTCGGAAGCCGTCCCAACAGAATCTTCATATAACTTCCATTGATCTCAACAAGTTAATGTGTAAATGACCTGATAAAAATTCTCATATGAGATAAAATCAATTCAAAGTTGTTGAAACGATTCGATGATGATTGAACTAAACAAACTTCCTTACGATTAGCCAAATTCAACAACATCATCGAATGAGTTGTAGATTTTGTTGATATTCTCCTTCTTCTTTGTTTGTTTGTTTTTATTTTCAATCTTTTGTTTGTTTTTTCAGTAAACATCACGATTGGATTACAAAAACTTTTCCGTATTGTACCATCCAGTTGAAGATAAAAGATGAAACATAGACTTATTGTGTATTGTTGGTAAACAGTCATTTTGTTGTGCTACACTAACACTTATTGTATAAAGTCACCGTATGCAAAAAGATCATGTAGCCTATTCATCCATCTAGAGCTTTCTGTTGTTGATTAAATGCGATAAACGTTGATTTCCGATGTTCGGTTGCTTCTTTCTGACGGCAATATTTTTCTCTTGTACATTTTGTCTAATTTGTGATTGAATTTTCTTTCTGATCATTCTATTCACTTTATTTTTTTCATTTGAATTTTTATATTTTCGAGATTATTTTCCTAAACTTTTCTTGTGAATCGACGGATTACGTGTAATGGAGAGTTTTGGGCATTGCTAATTGACTACACAACTTACTTGCTTACTTACGCCTGTTACTCCCAATGCAGCACATAGGCTGCCGACCACAAAGTTTAAATGATTTGATTCTTCATCTCTTTTTATTTTTCATGACAATTAGGTAAACGAAATATATATGTAAATTGTATGCAAACCATTGGTTTTCTTTATTAAATCTATGATGATTTGTATGATATTTGTAATGTAATGTCTGTGTTATACTGTCCATGTTATATTTCCATTCAAATGTAGTTGTGATAAAACACACTATCTTAAGCTATTATTATTATTACTATTATTAGTGTAATCAGCTGTAATTGTAATATGGCTCTATTGAATGTTGGAGTAGTCGACTAGGAGTTGTGTTATGTTCAGTGTTTGGTGCAAACAGTTACTTAGCTGATGAACTTGTGAAGAGGTGTCATTCAAATTGACCTAGATGACTAAAGAGATAGAAAACGAAAATTGATTCAATCACTCGTTTTTTAAGACATGTAAGAAAATAGTGTAAGTATTAAGATTGGCTGTATGAGTGTCATTGAAAGCGATAATTTTGAAAGTTCGCTGACTTATAATGACAAGAACAACTACAGTATCATTCATTGAAAATTAAATATGTCTCATTGCTACTGCAAAAAATACATAATTGCTGTTCAACTACAAATAAAAATTTTGAGACCGTCTAAACCAAATAGTGTATTCTAAATGATAGAAAGTGTTAATTGACATTCGCCTAGTTTGAATATGATTTTCACCATCAATGTCATTAGGTTTGAGAATGAACACCATCTCAGACCTGATTTACATATCGTCATTTCACTCCACTTTCTCATTTTCATGGGAACGCCTCCTAGTGCAAGAGATTGGAAATCAGTAGACATAGAATGTTGTAAATCTGATGACGTGATGGTGATTCATCAATTAACTTGAGGATTTAGTATATATTGTGTAAGACATCAATGACCAATTCCTTCTTTGGAAAGTTCCTCCCTTGAATGCATATGAAAATTGTCCACTTCATTGTTTTGGTTCTAAGGAATGCTTTGTGGCATTTGAGTCAATATTGAAATATGCAATGCTGATTGATTGATTGATTGATCTATGTCATTGCATTATGGTAAGATTAATTCTATATTCAATAGTACATATTTTATCATTTCTTTTATTTATTTATAGTAGATTATAATTCATTATTAAAATTGGGCACTTAAATGTTAATGCAAGATCAAGTAAATATACGTAGTTGTAACTTATTCATCATGTACTCAATCATCTACTCACTTATTATTACTATGAATGTTTAATTACTTTTATTAATTTATATATTATTGGTTATATTTAGTGAAGTTTAGACTGACATGTAAATATATATATATATATATATATATATATATATATATATATATATATATATATATATATATATATATATATATATGCGTTACGTATTACACAGCTTGAAAGTTAACCATAATGTCTATTGATGAAAAATGTTTGATGAATTCGTTTAAAATACTTGTTATATCTAGAAGGTTGTTTACTTGATATATCGCGTATAACTGAACACTAGAACACCAAAACTCTTCCAAGTCGCAAGGAGAATACGGAAGACTAATGAAAGGAATATTATTCTTAACAGTGTCCATTATAGTAAAAAATTGTCAGGTATTTATAGTTTTTATTAAGAACGAAATCATCATTATAGTTCTCCAATCCGTCGATGTTTCTATAGTCTAATTAAGACAGCTGAGAAATGATCAGAAAATTATCATTACGAGAGCAGATAAATGGAGCACGACAGTTATTATGAACAAATTGGACTGCGCGAAGAATCTCACTGAATATCTACAAGAGGGCCCGTATGAACTAATTAATGAAACGAAAAGTAGGACAATGCTTAACAAACTTACACCTGAAACCAGTAACATCTTATATTCGATAAAGATTAAACTAGTACCGTCATTACGGTTCAGATTCAATTCAAAGAGTTGTAACCCTTGTAGATTCTATGGACTTTGAAAGATCCACAAGAATAATACTCTACTAAGACAAGTGGTTGATTTTAAAAATTTACCGACATACAATCTAGCGAAATATTTAGCTAGGATAATTAAAACGTACTTACTTACACCTAATACTCACGATGGAACATAGGCCACCGACCAGCATTCTCCAACCCACTCTTTCCTAGACCTTTACTAGTTTTATCCAATTCTTGTTCGTTTTTCTGATGTCTATCTCCGTTTCCCGGCGTAATGTGTTCTTTGATCTTATACTTTTCCTTTGACCTTGAGGATTCCGAGTGAAGGCTAGCCTTGTAACACAATCGGTTGCTTTCCTCAATGTGTGTTCTATCCCCTTCTAGCACTTCCTCCTGATTTCTTTCCTCCGTTACAATCTGATTAGTTCTCTCCCACAGCAGGTTGTTGCTAATAGTGTCCGGCCAACGGATTCGAAGTATATTGCGTAGACAACTGTTCATTAACACCTATATCTTCTGTATAATGGCTTTCGTAGTTTTCCAGGTTTCGGCCCCATACAGTATAACTGTCTTGACGTTAGTATTGAAAATCCTGACATTGGTGTTGTTTGACGTAATGTTGTTTTGAGTTGCAGATGTTCTTCCGTTGTAAATATGCTGCTCTTGCTTTGCCGATCCGCGTCCACCGTGTTCATCAATGATGCTGCTCAAATCTGTATAGGTTTTTACATCTTCCAAATCTTCTCCGTTAATTGTGATTGCATTGGTGCATGCTGTGTTGTACCGAGGAATTTTGCTTTTCCCTTTGTGTATATTGAGACCTATCGCTGCTGCTGAGGCTGCTGCTACACTGGTCGTCTTCTCCTGCATTTGTTGTTGCGTTTGCGATAGAACAGTCAGATCATCTGCGAAGTCTAGATCATCAAACTGCATCCTAGATGTCAACTGTATTCCGTGCTTCCCTTTGGATATTGACATCTGCCATTATGCGGTGAGAGATTCTCATTTTCATAGGGATCGGAAGCTGTATATTAAATTCGTGTGTTGGAAAAATGTCCGTAGAACACCTAGCGGTTCCTTAAAGCCGAGTAGACGAAGGAGACAGTTTGATTAGTGTTGTTATAATTTTTCATAAAGGACTTCCGTGAACACTCAATGTCCTTCCTTCATCTTTTGTTAGTTACCAACTATCAAAATAACGTCGATATGGATGCAACGTTAAGCAATGATGAGGAAAAAATTATTTCGATCAACTCAGATGAGTTCACTGAACTTCTTCCATGAGTCGGGTAGCGGATAATTTCTGATGGCATCGACTTCTGTTGAGATCGGAGTAATACTATGAGATGATACAATGCGACCTAGGAATTGCAAGGATTCCTTTCCAAATTCACATTTCTCAATGTTTATGAAGATGCCGTGTTCTCGTAGTCGCGTGAATAATTGTCTTAGCTGTTGAATATGCTCATCCATAGTGGTGCTGGATACTAGCAAATCATCGATGTATGCGTATACTCTATGTAAACCTCTGGTGACCTGGTCGATAAATCGTTGAAAGGTTTGCGCTGCGTTGGCCAGTCCAAAAGGCATGCGCAGAAATTCATACAGCCCAAATGAGGTCGTTACCTCTGTCTTTGGTATGTCCTGTGGGGCAACAGGAATGTGATAGTATGTTCTAACTAAGTCGATCTTCGAGAAGACAGTAGCGCCTTCTATACTGTAGGTAAAATCGTGGATATGTGGTATAGGATATCTATCGGCTACTGTTCGCTAGTTAAGTGCGCGGTAGTCTCCACGTGGCCCAACTTCTTCATTCTTTTTCGGGGTCATATGTAGTGGGGGAAGCTCACGGGCTGTTTGAAGGCCTTACAAAACCCAGCCTCATCAACTTGTCGAATTCCTGTTTTGCCATTGCTAATCTTTTTGGGTCTAATCTTCTTGGTCTTGCACTAATTAGTGGCTCATTCGGTATGATATGGTGCTGAATGAAATGCTTGATATCCGCCTTATTGTAAGTTACTTTCACAAGTTCGGGAAATTCCTTTAACAACAATTTATCTGGATCACCGCGGCTTTTATTTGTCACTAGATTCATGGAAACGGCTTCCGTAAGTGTTCCTCTTATCGAAGTGGTGTGACCACCATTTATAAGTCTGTGACGCCACGAATCTACTAGCAGATTGAAGTTACATAGAAAATCGATGCCTATTATTAGCACTGATACATCTGCTATGACAAAGTCCCAGCGGTATGAAGCGCCTCGTCCGAAATCTAGGGACAACTTTCGTTCGCTGTATGTCTTGATATCCAATTTGTTCGCTGCTCTTACCACTAGTGACGGATTAACGTTTCTTCTCTCCTCGATTACTGAAGGTACTACCCTGACTTTTGCTCCAGTATCAACTAAGAATTGAGCGCCTGTCTTTCGGTCTTGTATATAAAACAGGCGAATATTTGCAGGAATTATGTTTGTTGGTGCCGTCGCCACAGACAATCGTTGGTATCGCTTACCTGTTATGCTAAATCTAGAAGGTTGTAAACACTTCCTAGCTCTATAGCCGTTCATTTGATGATACCAGCATATCAAGGGAGCTGTGCGACGTCTAGAAGCTGGTCGGTTTCTGTCGCGCGAGCGATCTCGAGATGATCTTTGAGGTCTTTTGCTCTGTGTTGCGACATAAAACATTCACCTCTTTCTGGAGAGTATTAAGTCTATCATCTACAGTCGCGCTGTGTAACGGATGGCTTGTTTGCTTGGTTCTTTCATATATTCTATCGGCTATTTTTGCTATGTTGCCTATATCGGCGTCCATATCTCCGACGGCTAGGATCTGCTGTACACTTGACGGAAGTCGGCGAAGTCACAGTTGATAAAACAGGTTATTGTTTATTTGCCTATCGCCCAACAGACCTCTCATATACGCTTTTAGCTGTGATGGAGTTCTATCCCCCATTTGTACTTGGTTAAGAAGCTGTTTAACAGTTTGTTGGTAACTTGGAAAGAGTTTTAATTATTGCTTGCTTTAGTACGTCGTACGGCTTTTCGGTGTCTGGTTTCGCTAACGTCTCTCGTACACTCTCTGCTACTTCATCTAGAAGGAATGTGCTTGTGAGGCCGAATTTATCTCTTTGTAAAATAATGCAGTTAGTCAGAAAATAATTTTCAAGTCTAATAAACCAAAGTTTTGGGTCGGTGACCTTAAAAGAGGGGACAGGAAGATTAAGAGACCTCATGGACTGGGTTTGTTGTAAACTTGACACAGTGTTTTCGGAAGACATGTTTATACAAAATTTAAAATAGTACACGAAATATAATGTAACCGTCATAGAGAAGAAATGAATAGACAAAAACAATGATAATAACAAATTGGTACAATTTATAACATAGAATAGACTTACTAAATTGCACCAATATATCAATTGTTTGTGAATAATCGTTATGTATTATGATTATTATCGTCACGTTCAATAATGTTTATGAAATAATGTACGTGTAATTAAAATAGTAATATAATAAATTCACAGTTAAGATTATAATCCATATAATAATTCAAATTGAGACGAAGTACGTTGAATTTTCGGAATTTGATGATATCGTCGACAGCCATTTCGTGTTTGCACGTCGAGGTCGCCAATTCTGTAGTGGCTGTGATTCATTGACAAATCACCCTCGTAACCGTTATCGTATAATCCCTCAATGGTGTTTGAAATCAGAAGGCAAAGAGAAGCAGCGACTATAGTTTTATTAGCAGATAACTCAGACCACAAAGCAAAGAAGCGAATGAGTGAGTCAGCGAACCGAGAGTGTAGAGTGTTAAATGTACATGTATATATATAGGGAAATGAATGGATCATCGGATTATTTAAGCAGCTAATAATAAAGCTAGCAGAATGAATATATGCGTAGTCGGTAAGCAATGTTCAAGCATACATATTTCATACAAGCACAACAATGATAAAGGTACAATAAGTTGTTATAGTACGGATGACTCTGTCCACTAAATAAGTTAACAAAAAGCTTAACTGGATTAAATGTGACCAAACTTAGTTGCACGTGAGCTGCTATAAGTTATCACAGTTGCTGAGATCGCCTTTCTTTGTTATTTTGACTAGAAGTCCTTCTTTTCAGTTTGTCGGTACTTTTTCCTCATCCCAAATCTTGCTGAAGAGAATGTGGAGTATCCTTGCAGTTTCTGCAACTTCTGCTTTCAGTGCCTCTGCTGGAATTTT